ACGCGCCCCCAGCCATAATTGTTCTCAGGGCAACTGAAATTTGGACAACCTCACTATCTAGTCATCCCAACCCTGGGCCCTTCTTGGAAGGAGAGCGTGGCTGACTCGGCTGATGCTGCGCAGACACTTTATTGCAAGGCGTTTTGGAGTATAGTTTGAATTGAATATAGTCCACACCTCAGGCAGAGAAGTGCTTTGGCCCATAATCAAGACCTCCAGCTTCCTACCTTGTTATGCTTGAGACTATGACTAAACATGACATGGCTCGTAAGTGTAGACTGCAGCCCATGTGCAGAAGGGTATATGGACATAAAATACTGATTTGCAGTTCTGGTGTGTAGGCTGGGCATAAAACTGAGAACCAAACTTTGGGCTTTTTTGGACAGTCATCTCCTAGGAATTGGCAGCATTTGAACTTGGTGGGTTTTTTAGATCTGTTAGTAGTTTGCTGATTAGGGCTTGCCATCACTTTTATTTACATCATTGGGGCATTGCCACAAATGGTGTTGGCCAACCCCATTTATTTGCCTAAGAGGTTGTGTTAGTGCAAGGTTCTGCAAAGCTCTGCTTGGCACTGCGTGGCGGAGAGAACTTTGGGCAGAGGGCAGAGATTTGGGCAGTAGTTCCACCCATGCTTCACAGAAAGCAGAGTTCAAGCCAGCCCTGGTCTGAAATCTGCACTGTGATGTTAGAACACAGCTGAAACTGAGCTTGAATTCTGCCTCGAAGGTGCTCTTAGCAGGGACCCAATTCCATGTTACTATTGTTATGTGGAGAGTTCACCTGTTTCCCTTTTTCCTTCTGGCTCAGAATAAGGGCAGAGGCAACGTGCAGCTTTCTTCACATGACAACGTACACAGACCATAATGTAGCAACATTAGCTGAGATGCCAACTGGGAGGAAGATACAGCAATATTTTTTCATATTTTAGCAGACCTGATATACAGGCCCAGATCCTTTCTTCACAGCACCTGCTGGAGAAGTGACTTGGATAAACATTAGGGCTTATTGGGAGCCTCTGTAGCCATGATGTGTTTTCTTTTGCCTGCATGAAAGAGTAGAAATGGTAAACTTCACAGTAACATCTGAAACCAAGGGTGTATGGACAGAAGCTTACTTTAATCATTATCAACTTTCTCTTGGATGTGGATTTCTTTAGTTATCCTTGCTGTATGTATGATCAAAATCAGCTACTAAAGTGCATTGCTGGTGTCATAAGCCTTGAGGACTGATAGGAAGTTGGAGTCCCTGCTTATTTGACTACAGTAAATCTGCCTACTTATTAGTTGCAATAGATCTTACAAGATTTATTCTCAGCTTACTCTCTTAGGTGAGAAGACTGAAATTTCAGTTTTTTCTCTAAAATCTTATTTATTTTTCATCCATGCCTTATAGAACTAAATCGTTCTTGGTATCCTGTTGATGTGATTATTTTATGAAGTGTTGTTCAGAAATTCAAAGCCAAGTGAAAGTAGAGGAAACCTCTTACTATTAATAAGTCCCCTCTGCTTTCTCATCACTGTTGCCATATATTTTAAGATTTGTCCTTCCATTACTAATTTAGTGGTTTTGGAATATACTAATTAATAGTGAAATTTTTGACAGCTGGTTTGAAATTACTTAACTTTCTATGCTACATATCAGTTTGCAATATACTTCTATGTTACAAATTTTATTTGTTATTTGAGAAAACAAGCAACATTAATTTTTCAGGTTTTGTATGCAAGAAGCAAAAAATTCTGGGCTACAACCATTATTCACCTGAATCAAATGCAAATGTAAAATTAATAGGACATATTAAATGGTTTAGTCTATTAGAAAGTTTACATTCTCTGATCATCTTAATGTTCAAAGATTTATGTTGAAATGGTGTCATACATAGTTTTCATGTTAATTTCCTTTCCACAGGATTAAGGATATTCGAGATTTCATTATTCAGTCCCGTCCAGCATTCGCCACAACTGATTTTGTTCTTGTGACTACCTTTCCAAATAAAGAGCTAACAGATGAAAGCCTGACACTACAAGAAGCAGATATACTTAACACTGTGATTCTTCAGCAATTAAAGTAATCTTCCAGTTTTTCATACGATATAAAGAGCGTGCTGTATTGTCATACAATATATTTCCAACAGATGAAAAAAAGGAGAGATCAGTGTCTTTTTATTCCTCCACTTCCTTGGATCAGATTTTTCGGTTTTATGTCTTCCAGCTAATGCATATCTAACTTTTTTATTTTAATTCTCAACATTGTTTGTATGTTTCAAACCACATATTGTACTAATTGTGAAATGAGATATGACTGTATGACTCTTCGTTATTTTGAGGGGGGTGGGGGGAGAAGCATTTTTCTGATGGGGACAGTACCTTTCATACGGTTGGTAAGATTTGCACTATGGAAATGTTTTATGCTGCATTTACAAACAGCCATTTGAAAACTTAGCCTGTAGGTTATGTTTACCTTCCAAGCTGTATTATTATTAAGGTGTTCTATTTAATAGATGGACAGATAATTAATGCCCTAATATAATTTTTGTATATTCTGTTTGTAGTGTTTCATGGTGCCGTATAACGTTTGTATTCTAGTTTTTATTTAACTTGCCCTGTAACGTTGCTCATATGAGTGAATCAGTTCAGGAGATGCAAACCTCAGCTATTGCAGACTATAATAGATTGTTTTCATTTGCATTCTAGTTGTTCTTCTTGTGGTGAAAATAAGTATGAATTTTTTTCTTCTTGAAGTTAGAGAAATGGGAGAGACCACTGTCATCTGGAGAAATGCTGTGATTTAGATTTCATGAGAGTAGGCCTGTGGTCACTTTGAACCTGAATATGCAGTTGAACTCTGTGCAGCTACGTGATTCTTCACATGAGCAGTTACTTAACCCCAAACAAAACACACCAAGGTGCACAAACATAGAACTTGTTTATGCTGTCACCTGCATGCACAAAAGTAGACATGTTAATTGGCTGTATATTTTTGACCTGAGTTTCAGGTCTTTATATTTGGAATTTTAGCCAAAGGCATTTTGTAATATTCAGTGGGGATTTGCTTGTGCAGCTTTCACTATGCTTGTTTGGAAGCTGTATAATTAAACCCCTTAATCTTTGAAATTCTATATTTTTGCAAATAACTTGGTCCTACACTGCAGTGTGCAGGTAGGAATCTTATGTTGTGGGCAAACTGGCTGCTGTGCTTTAGTAGTATGAAGTTTTATAGTATTTGTGGCTTTATATCAGATGAGTGGAACACATTCTGAAGGAGAGTAAATGGGCTCTATCTCTTGTACCTATATATGTGTTAAAAATGCTGTTTTCACTGATGAATTTATTCTGAAAATATCAATATTTATTTATGCTAAGCTTAGAATTGCTCAGTATATTTGATTAATCTTACATTTTTACCTCAAAGTCGATATTTGACGAGTGAATTTTAAATGTGCAATTGTATTTGAAGTATTTTGTTTTGTTATCTGAATACCTGCATGATTTTAATCATAATTCATTTCACATGCTAAGTAATTAAAGTTTTAAGCTAAAAAGATCATGGGCAACACTTCTTGTTTTCTTCCCAGTTTATGTTGTGATGAAGTGGTGATTGTGTTGCGTGTCAAATGCTTAAGCCTAAGTGGAAAGGAATGGACACTTGCTGTGCATATACTCTGTATACTAACACTTTTCTATATAAATGCAAGGCCTAAGTCAGTATTGTGATACCAGTCTTGAGCAATCTGTGGTTTGGACATATTTCAGTTCAGAATATAGGTAAAGTTACATTGCTTATTACTTCTGAAGACCATTATTCATTAAACACTGAAGTATGAGGACAGTAATTAATTTTTTTTTATTATGACCAAAACCACAACTGCATATTATCACAACCTCTTTGTTTCAAATAGCTGTTAAATTTTAGTGTTCAGTAGGAGCTGATGGTAACTGAGGGTCCCAGTAGTTGACATTGTTTTGTCAAGCATGAAGAAAATGTATCAATGCTTATGTTTAAATATTGTGCTGCTTCTCAGTACTTCAAAACCTTTAGAATCTTCTGCCTCATAATTTTATGTCATACCTTTTATTCACATTACATTCTCACTCTTGTAGCTAACATCTTAGCATTTTGTGCACAAAACAGTTGTTTTAATACAGACCTGTGTGGATATACGGTTAAGACTGGCTACAAGGGAGAAGGGAGACTGAAAGAATGGAGAAGGAACTTGGTAGAGGATGATGGTCTTTCCGTCACAGCAAAGCTGCTGAACTTCTTGGGAATTCCTGTTATCTTCCATAAAATACAGGTAATAATCCTGTCACTTGCCCTTGTATGCACCTTGTGAAAGGCTCAGGCTTCACCTCTGTCTTTCCCAGAAATCCTTCATCACACAAGAGGCAAATAATCCAAACCTGAATGTTTTCTCTTAAGAAAATATCTGTGGACTGAAATATTTAGCTTTTTTTTTTTTTTTTTTTTTTTTTTACATTACTCACATCTTTCTAGTTGTTTATTCTGGTTTTTGTTTGGGGTTTGTTGTTTTGTTTTTCAGGAGCACCTTGAGATGTTTGCAAACATTCTGCTCTTATCTGACTACTGGACACACTTGTACAATATATTAACTGCTGTATTGTACTGTTCTCACTCTTTGGTAAAAATTTGCCCAATATTAAATGAACCAAGGAAGAGCATGCAGGCACTTAGAGGTGCTATTACTAGCTCCCTGCTTAGTTGCTTGGACTAAGTTAAAGCTCCCATGATCTTTAAATTGTATTATTCTGTGCAGTGAGAATAGACTGAGAGATGCACCTTCCCCATCCTTGTGCTGATGAAGCCTGACAGGCCCCACTGTAGGCATGTGCTGTTCTGCGGGCAGATGAGACAGTGAGCAGCCAGACTCTGGAGTAATAAATACCGTATTCATGGCATGCCAAAAGCAGTCAGCTTGTGGTGCTTCTATGGGATGGATATAGTTGGAATGGGTTCCTGACGAGATTAAAAGTAGGACTGGTACTATTTAGCTGCTCATCAGTTATTTGAAAATAAACTTTGAAAACTCCCAAATTAGTGCAGTGATAATCAGTAGGCAATGACTATGATGAACATTTAGTGTGATTCTGTGAACTACAGCAGTTGGATTAACTATGTTGTTAATACAGCCAAATGTCAAGTTACAAATCTGGAACCAACTGTGAAAGACACCGGTAGCCTGGAAAGCGCTGGCTCCGGAAGGGACTTGGGTGACAGTAGGAAGACAATGCAGCAGAACTATTTACATCCCTCTGGGGTTTACAGAGTTGGCTTTGTGACTGGGAGGTTATTTTAATCCATGTGTTTGTTATTGGTGAGTTTGATACTGTTCATGGTGCTGTTCCTGCCTCTTAAGAACTTTAGAAGTGGGACCCAAAAATCAGTGGAAATGCTGAATTAAATATCTTAAAAGAGCTCAAAACAGGTAGCTTATCAGGAAGAAAATGGACGGATGAGGTGATATAAAGTGGGCAGTTGGTTCACAGGGTGGGGAAAAATATTATAGGACTGTTTGATAGAGAAAAGCGTACAAGAATTAGAAGCTTGTACAAAGCTGGCAACTCAGTTCAGGTATTTTCAAAGTGCAATTAAAACTCATCTTTCAATAGTTGAACTACTGGAATGAACCAGCCTTGACAATCAACTTCTCTACCTTCTGGTTTTTTTGTTTAATATGCTGGCTTTCTGCAAGATTTGTTTTAATTAAACCAAATTAATATTTGAGTTTTGCTACTAAGACAACAAGGTAAAATAAGATAGCTTAGTTTTTGAAAGCAATTTACTTTGCCTTTGTCTAGTGATACTTGCAACTAAGAAATTTTACTGTATGTTTCATATTTAAAGGCTGGAAATGTTATATACCTTACAGTGCATCTTCAATATTTTCATTACAGACATTCCAAAAAAAGTCTGCTGACCATCAGATGATTACAGACCAGAATTCACCTTCTTGCACTTCTTACTTGCAGCTCTCCTCCTTTAGTAATGGTCTTGTTCTGTCCATAATTGAAGAGCTCTACAGCACATCTGAATGTTAAAAGAAGGAAACTAAAAAGTTTTTCATGTAAAACTGAGATGGGGGAAGGTAACTAGTTCTTGTCTGTTTGCGGGGAGCTCTCTGCTCTCGACTTAAATATGTGATCTCTAAGCTACCTATTCAGGCTCTTTCTCTGGGGTATGAGAAGATAGGTGTGTTATTCCAAACTGCATTAAGGTAGACTGAGCGAGACATTCTTAACTGTGGAATTACAAAAAATCCTTTAAGGAATTATTCTGGAAGAGCTACTATTTTGCATTTATAAGTCTAAGTCAGTACAGATTAATTTGGTGAAATCTTAGACCATTTAAATACTAATGAGCAAGTACTCCCAAAGGAGAATACCCAGGAGTAATTTTTCCTATATGAAGTTTTTAGCTGAAGTTTGAATAGAAGGAATTACTTATGCAGGGTTGTGAAGGTATTTATTTCATGGAATTCTTACTGTCTTACTAGGTGCTGATACTTTGACTGTCTATTCTAGAGAAAAAAAAAAAAAGTGGTGTTTATTGGCTCTGTCCTAAAAATTACTAAATAATTGCACTTTGAAGACAAAATAAATTTTCTGATTTCCAAATTAAATTGTAATTAACTTTTTCATGGTAATAGCTGTCTGCAGCATTTTGGACCAATGGAAGCCTCAGAACTTTAGTGCCTGCATTGTGCACACCCTGCACAAATGTTCCATTTCAGCGAACAGAATTCATTTGTTAATCTTGCAACTGTTCCTAATCAAGTTAAATTAAATCATCATTAATGATGTATTCACAATGTAAATGTCCTTACAGTCTTTTGTGCTGATTTAGTTAATCCATTTTAAATTAGATTTTACAAATAAAAATCTCTGCCTGAATGTGAAAATGTAAGTGCTAGTTTTTTGGGAAGCTTGCAATTAATAGAGAACAACTTAGATAAGGTATTTATTTCTGCTTGCAATTGAATTCTTCTTCTCTTAGCAAGCTAGTTCTTGTTAAAAGAAATTGAGAAATTTTCAATGGAGAAGGCTTTGGCTCTGAACACAGTAGAGTGCTACCACCTTTTGTCCATCAATGAGCACCTTGATCCATGTGAGTACTTGTTTCCACTTTTTTTTTTAATAACTTTTTATATCGGTTCTCCTGTTTTGAATATGTCGTGTATGCTTTCAATGCT